TTATATATTATTCAATAAATTTATATTATTCATTATCTGGATTAATTTTTGTAAGATGTTAGTTGAGTTGACATGGTTTTAGTGCTTCAATCTATTGATCAAATCTTGATGCGCAGTGTTCATTGTGGTCTGCTCTCACTGGATTATTCCATCAAGCCATATTTTGTGTACAAGTCATCACTTTACACAGTCTTTATGCCATTTTTATGCTTTTTTTCAGCCTATGCACAGTTAGAGTCTTCTGTATTTACCCTTACAGCTGAGAGTCTAAATGTATCTAAAGATTTAAAGCTTTAAAGTTTTAAAGAGTTTTGTCATTCATCAGCCTGTTAACAGTTAACTGTACTGTTGTAACTGGCAATACTACAATGAAGGCTGTAGTGGTTCAGTGTGTTTTGTTCATTTTTATTCCTTTTTTTTGTGCACATCATAATTTACTCAGGTCGACAATCCTGAATTACACTGATAAAAAATAATTTCCTAAATGCAATCTAGAATTGGGTATTCAAGTTCAAAGAGCCACAAGTTTTACTTTGCATAATTTTAGAAGCTTTGCTGACTTTAAAATGTTCATACCAGTTTGTTCTATTAATAATAATACAGAACATTTAAATTAGTTACACAAACAAATATGGGAAAAAGTGGAACAAAAATGCATTTATATTCAGAGTATTAAAATTTGATCAGGTATGTTGAGCTCCATTAAATATAGAGCACTAATACATTTTAATATTTAATAATTATTAGCCCTATAACATAACACAAACAGATACATTATAATTTTTAAAGGCTATAGTGGTTTTACTCAGGGTGTATACAATTTAGTTTTTTTAATCATCCAGTTATGAACCAATGTGAGTAAGACGTCCACTGCAGAGCTCATCCAGCTGTCATTAGTGTAACAGGAATGAAACTGAGCACTCCCTGATGTGATGACAGCTCCATTCATTGTTATTGCAGCACTTTTTGCTTTACAATTTTAATATGTTTGTTTGCCATGCTGCAAAGTCTGATATTTGTACAATGCAAAGTGTAAAAGCCTGTCGCGATGTGGACGAGGTGCAATGTTGTGCCGTGTCTTTAAAATGCTATTTGTTCCCTATGAGTGAAGCCTGCGCAGAGAGGTGCGCACTCCGCAGCACCCAGCTGATCGGTTACTTGGGAACGCAAGCCATATACAGAGAAGTGCTTTCAGCCTCCGATAATGTTCTTATTGATCATGTATTTTAACTGAAATATAGTCAGTCAAACCTGAGCATTCATTTAGTTGTTTAGCGTAAAAGAGGTAAGCGTAAGTGAAAGGTAAACGCCGTCAGGTGCAGCAGACAAGCGCCAAAAATCACAGTCAGGAAGCGCCTGGCCAGAAGCGCTTGTTCAATAAAAGTCCCCGTCCACGGAGGCGGGCCACTGCACTTCTTTTCCTGTGTCACGAAAGTGTCAACTGCATTTAAATGACATAAGCATAAAGCTTCATTTTTGCAGTACTTTTGAGCTCAAATTATTATAAAAATATATTAACCTTCAGAATGATGCGGGACACAAAATTCATCCATGTGGGCTCATTGATCTAAAATTTCTTTGCGGCCCCCCTAGCGCCATCTGGCGGCCCCCCAGGGGGCCGCGGACCCCAGTTTGAAAACCCCTGGCTTACAGTATATCCAAAGAAAAGAAAGATCTTCAAAGATGCCTTTTCAAGCTCTAAGAAATCTGTTTTTGAAACTAATAAAAACAGCAGAAGTCAATGATTTATTTAAATTATTTAGCCTGACATGTTTACTGTTCCAAAATAGTTTAAATGTTTCTTAAAATAAAGTATATATTGTGTTCAATGAGGAAAAAAGTTGTTGTTTTTACCATGAAACTGTGACCTTTTTATACCAGGTTATCATACCCTCAGAATCTTACACAGGCCCATTCCTAATTGAGATATTAAACTAGTATACTTTTTCTAAAACATCATAAAATCATGGCATAAAGCACATTTTAAACTAATTTAAAATATGTTTTCTGTCAAATATCATTGACATCTAACTTTTAATAGAAATCTCACTTTTCCCCCATCATTAACTTCAAAAAATATTTTATTTGTAATGAAATTCTCTCACATATGAAGCATCTGTAAGAAGCACAAACTTTTTCAAAGTTTTAAATCCTTAAGGTCTAAGATGGAAATATGTTTTTAGAGATCAAAACAATTTCCCTGTCTTTAGAACATGCCTTGTGTTTTCTTTTTTGTGTGTAAAACTCAAAATAATTATTTAGACTATTATACATTTTACATGAATTATATTTAAAATAATGGATAAAATGTGATTTAGTTCATACCAAACATTACTGTCAGTCATTTTTAGATATTTTTTAATTATTCAAATGAAATAATTCCTATGAATTAAAGCCCTACCTTGTATTCTAAGCATGCCTCCTGCAGTGTTACAGCTTCATGTTTTTTATGCGACCCAACAGCAATGCACAGACAACAAACTGCAACCTGGTCAATCTGGCAGAAGAGTTTGAGCTCCTCCCCATGCTCCTTACACTTAAAGGAAATCCAGTCTTCTGTTACTTCAATAAGAGAGTGTCCTTTTAACACCTGTCTCTGCTGGTGCAGAAGTGTATGAGCAGAGCACAGAGAGGCGTCACAGGTGAGACAGCTTTTCACAGCCACCTCTGCCTTCCCAATACAATGATCACACATAATAATAGTGGGTGATCCTTCCTGCGAAGCTTCTGCAAAAACATCCTGAACTTTCCGCTGAAGATCTGAGTTGATCTGAAGCCCGAGGTCTGGAGGAAGCAGGATCTGACATTCTGGACAGAAAAGCGGCTCTTCTGTGGATGTTTTGGGCTCATCCATGTTCCAGACTGATTGGATGCAGGTTTGGCAGAAGTCGTGCCCGCATGGGAGGCACACAGGGTCTGTGAAGACATCTACACAAACAGGACATTTCAGTTTTTCTTCTGGAGCGTCCATATCTGCAGCTTCTACTGCCTGTGTGTGGTGGCTCGGCATCAATATTTCAAAGATGAGACTCAGATTTCATTGCCATTTTGTTATGAGGGTATTCAGTTACAATAAGCTGTGCATGTCTATTAATGCAACAACAGCATATGAAACATTTTAAAATAGCTGGCTGATGCTGCATTACAGCTCTAAGTTAAAATGTTCAAGTTAGATAGCATATAACAGTTTATTTGTAATTTAATATTTAGAAGATTTGAGTGTAATTTTTTATTTAACTGTGGTTGTGTTGCTAATGTGCATCATTAAATAGTTTGTTTAAATACACCTTTTTATTACTGATTACTTTACATGGCATAATGTACTGTTGTATTTTTTTTATTAAAGTCTCTCACATCTGTAAAGCACTAACAAGTTGAAAATCAGTTTAAAAATCAGTTTTCAAAACAGACTGACATCCTTGGAGTCCAAGATGGAAATAATTTTTCAGGCATCAAAACCATTTTCCCTCCATTCTTTAAAACATGTCCTGCCTATTTTTTGTTTGTTGTGTGAAACTAAATTAATGATTAAGACTATTATACATTTCACTTGACATACATTAAAATGTTGGCTAAATATTTATAAGCAAGAACCATTTGATGACATGTTAAAACGAATCACAGTACAGCCACAAAATAATATATAATTGTTAATCTATAGATATATGGTTAAATATATAACCATATATGTTGTTTATTTTTTCATTGAATTTTTTCTTTTTTAAACATTTAGTTAAAGATTTGCACTGACGGAACAGTGGTATAGGTGTCTCATGTCATCATATATAATAATATAGCCATAGGCTTGTAATTGAAGTATTTTCTAAAGAGTAAAATTGACCAAAAATCCATAAATTAAATAATAAATATATATAAATAAATAAAAACAGTTTTTTATTAAACATTCTCCAAAAACTCCCATAGCGGATTCCAGTTATGCCAGAAATCATTCGATTTCTGACGCAAGTCATAAGTCGGTTTTTCTAAATAGCAATCTGATTAATTTTTTTATTAACAAATATGCCAGAGCAGATCAAAAGCCATTTTCTTCACTAAAATTAGTTCCACAAAATTGCCCAATACATTGGATAACATTAAGCAAAATAAAAAAAGCAAAAAAAAAATTGTCTTCTTCTTTTTCAATTGTTTTAGCATGTCAAAAAGATCAAGTCTTATCCTGCCATCCTTAAGAGACGGTTCTAGAAAATGTCGCAAAAAATTATAGAAGTTGTTATTTGGGAAATTAAATTCCTGTTTTAATAACTGAAATGATTTCAGCCTCCTGTTGTTAAATATCTGATTAAATTTGTTGATTAATCCAATTCCAAAATCCCTGTTTCCATAAAAGGAAACCAATGTTCTGAATAGGGGGTAGCTCGAGATTCGAAATAGGAGATTTTAAGGAAGGAGTATAGGAGAGATTCAAATACTTTTAACAGCATCTGGATGCAGCCTTTATGATGCAAGCTGAGATTGCATCCCTCAGAGATGCAATGTCAGACACAATGCACTCAATGGAGTTAGTAACATCACTGTAATGCTTTCCATGCCAAGAGTGTTCGATACTGAAAAGATGATAGATACCGAGTCAAGTTTAAATCTATGTTGTTTCATTTTTATGCACAACCTATAATAAATAGGCCTATATTATATATTTATGCCAGCTGAATTGTTGCATTATTTTCACAAACGTTATAAAACACTAAAGTAGACATTATTTAATTTTTTTTTCTTTTTATGTGTACAAAATTTTGACAAAACCAAACAAATGCTAGCAAAACATGTTAGCTTTCAACAACGAGCCTCATGAATAAGCGTTTGTTTGTTGTCTTGGTAATCATAAATTTATCTCTCGTTACAAAAAACAACAACGATATAATTGTTGGTTTTGTTGTTTATGTATGATATAATGATCACTGCAAAACGACTCGACTGACTGATAGGACTGTCACTGGGTGGCAGTGTATCTGCAATGGCGTTGGAAGTTCCGCAAACAAGAAACAACGAAGAAGAAGTTGCTTATCATGTGATGTTTATTAATTCTACGCGGGAATCTGTTTCACTGCACAGATGAATCAAACGTTATTTACGCCAGCAATTGCATTTAATTCATGTGAAAGTAACAGTTACGTTCAGATGTCCGTCTGGCTGTAAGAATAACGTCATCAGTTTCTGGACGAAGTTCATCTTTTAGAGCAGCTTTACAGTGGTGTGAGATGCTTAAAGTTTTTGAATGAGTGTTATGCTTTTCTGCAAAGAACAAAACGCCTTCAGTCGTTTTATTCACATACGTCTACAATGATGAAGTGCAAATCCAGCCGATCATCTGTGAGTATTTAATTCAGTTCGTTTGCTGCTATATTGTTAGATGTTTTTAAGTTGTGAAAATCGGGTTGCCTTAACTAACATCTTCCTTTTAATCTTAGATGGTCAGTGGAGTTCAATCAAACATTTCTTCCTTTTTCCTCTCAAAGGTAAGGACACGACTGACAGGGACAGTTCACCTAAACATTTAAATGATGATACGTCATCATTATTTACTCACACTTATGTTGTTTCATACTTCAATGACTGTTTATTCTGTACAGCACAAAAGGATGTTTGAAGGTTAGAGACCGATAGCTCTGATCACAATTCACTTTCCTTACATTTTATTTATGAAAAAAACGTTTAACAGTCAGTATCCCGGTATTGTAATTATTGCTCCAAAATATATTCTTTTTAAATTTCTTGGTAAAAAACAAAACCTTTTTCCCCTTTAAATTCAATATATTCTTTTTTTTTTTTTTTTTTTCGAAAGATTTATGATATTTTGGAGCAGTAAACATGTCAGACCATATAATTAAAATGAGTCATTGACTTCTGCTGTCTTCATTTGTTTCAAAAACAAAGATTTCTGTACAATTTAAAATGGCATCTTTGGATATTTTTTCTGCTAGAGATACTGTTGTCATAAAAAACAAAAATGTAAATAAAAAATCTTACAGATACTTAGGAACGGTATTACAGAAAATGTTCGCTGTTTTAAAACCTTGAATTTTCCAAACCACAGTAATATTGAAAACGGTTAGCGTCCGATGCCTAGACAGATATGTTCACTATCCCAAAATATTTTAAATGTTTCTCAAAATAAAATATGTTGTGTTCAAAGGGGGAAAATTATTATTATTTTTTTACCCAGACATTTAAAAAGAACATATTTTAGAGCGGTAATCACAATACCGTGAAACCATGATATTTTTTATTAACAGATATTTATTATCAAACCGTTATCTTAATCCGGCCCATGCTTAAACACAAGACATTTTTTAAAGCTTTTTGAAAGAAAGGGCTGTTTTTTTTTTGTTTGTTTTTTAATAAAAATAAATGTACTTTTTATTATTATTTATTTTTTTAGAAACAGCATTTATTAGAGTAATTGGAGAGTCTGGTGCTATTTTCATATTTTACAAATGGCAGTTTATTTTAAACACTAGGTTAGTTCAAGGTTTTAAAATGCATTCATTTCAGCATTTAACTTTTTTCTCAATTAATTTTTTGTTTTTTCAGGTAGCGGTAAAGTCACCTAAAAAATGTGAAGTAGGAATTACAAGATCCCCTGTTTCTTTAAAGACTGGGTTTGTGAAGGACGAAAATGTTCCCTGCTCCCCAAACCCATCTGCTGTCCCAGAGACGCCTGACAGTCTGAGAATCGAGAGGCCTTCAGACACTTCATTTGAGAAACGCTCACCTGTTTCACGTGGTCTACATACTAAAGGAGTCAGGGGTAAACCTAGCCTGAATGCACGAAAGCTGTTTCAGCCACAGAAAAACAGCAGTTTAGAGTCAGAGGACACTTTTGAGTTCAAGAATGGCGTAAGTCACTCAGGCTCCGTAAAGAGGTTGTTGCACAGCACTGAAAACATACAGAGTGCCAAGAAGTCCAGGACTACTCAAGATCAGAAAATAACTGATTGTGGCCCAAGCTCAGCAACGGCCAGTCAAAATAAATTTTCTGAAACATTGCAAAAAGCTTTCTCTAAGAGTCCTGAGAAAAAAATCAAAACTGAGTCTGTGAGTTTGGAGGGTAGCCGACTGAAGGCTGGACCTTGTTTGAAAATGAATGAAAAATTAAATGGTTTCTCAAAAGACTCAGGAAGATCCTCTCATCATCTGAGCTTTAGTACTAGTGAGAAGGAGAATTCACCTACTTGTAATGTAAAGTCAGAGGCAGACATGGGTGCCGTTTCTGGAACAAATGACTTTGATCTTGTGATGTCGTATAGTTCTTGGATACAAAATGGATCTACTGAAGAAAAAGGTACTTTTCTTAACTGTCCAATTGCTAAGAAGAGGCCCTTAAATACATCTGAGCTGCAAGTGAAAGAACAAATTACTGATGGAAAGACTTTGCCTGTACCATTTGAGGACGATTTTGCCGATTTGATGGACGATTGGTTTGATGAAGGGATGGAGCAAAAATCTGAGGCACCAAAACCCAAGAAGTTCAGTCATGAGTATGAGTCTTTTATTCATCCTATTATGTTGTGCACATAAATAAGCTTTCATTTAAAACGCCATAATTCAAGTAAGGCAAGGCAGGGCAAGGTTATTTATATAGCACATTTCATAAACAGTGGCAATTCAAAGTTCTTTACATAAACAGGAATAAAAGACACAAGTATAAATAAATTAGAAACAAATAATATAAAAACAATAGAAGTAAACTATACTCCTGTATTATCTTTTATATTTTCAGGTTAAAGAGATGAAAATTGTCATTATTTACTCACCCCGAGTTTCTTTCTTCTATTGAACACAAAAGAAGATTTCATTGACCTCCATAGTGTTTTATTTCTACTATGGATATCCATGACTGCTATTTTTCAACTTTATTTTGAACATTTTGTTTTGTGTCAAACAAAAGAAAGACATTTATAAAAGTTTAGAACTACCTGAGTGTTCAGAAATGGTGAGGAAATTTGCATTTTTGGTAAACTATCCTTTTAAGTAAAGTCACACGCTATTTTCTTAGAAATGAGCTAAGCAAAATCACAAATGTGACATTGATTTTATATTTTTACTAACCATCAATATCTTATTTTGCTTGTTTTCTGTCAGTGATCCAATTGTAAAAGTTTCACTTGTTTAGTTTCTAAATGAATCAGCCGTTTTGAACAAATCATTTGACTGAATGATTCAATTAATCATTGATTATTACTTATACAAAAAGTTACTAAAATCATGCATTATTATTTATACTAGCTGCCAACACTGTCAGTATAATATTGTTTAATAATCATTATTGAGGGGATAGGGTAGTACTGTAGGTGAATTGGTTAAGCTAAGTTGTCCGTAGTGTATGTGTGTGATTGAGTGTGTATAGGTGTTTCCCAGTGATGGGTTGCAGCTGGAAGGGCATCCACTGCGAATAACATATGCCGGATAAGTTGGCAGTTCATTCGGCTGTGGCGACCCCTGATTATTAAAGGGACTTAGCCAAAAAGAAAATGAACAAATGAATGATGTATGTGTGGGTGTGAATGCAAGAGTGTATTGGTGTTTCCCAGTGTTTGGGTGCAGCTGGAAGGGCATCCGCTGCATAAAATATATGCTTGATAAGTTGGCGGTTCATTCCGCTGTGGTAACCCCTGATTAAAAGAGGGACTAAGCCAAAAAGAAAATAAAGGAATCATTATTTAAAAAATCCACAAAAACTTCAAGAAATCTGTTTTTAATCCTAATATAATTCCCTTTTCTTTTTTCCAAGAAAAAACAAAGGCATACCTGAGCATGTTGTGCTGGCCTCTGGTGTTCATAACCGATATTGGGTGCTGGATGTGCAGGACGTTACCTCGTCAAGAAGCTGCTCAGAGAAGCACTTGACCATCACTTGCTCAAAGACGAGTCAGGCCACAGAGACCTGCATTCTCAAAGATGGCTGGTACAAAACATGATTTGATTATGCGAGAGATTCTCAATGAAGTTCTTTCTATTGATTGTCTCTTTCTTTTTCTGTAGGGAAAGTACTCTGGTAACTGTAGGGGACATTATTCACTTGGAAGGGAAGTGTGTTTCCGGCTTGTGGACAATTGATAGAGACTCTGCTTTTCTGATTCTTCTGCCTGACCTGCTGATATCTGGGACCAGCATTGCCAGCAGCATTCGCTGTATGAGGCGAGGGGTGCTGGGAGAGATGTTCAAGGTGTGGAAATGTAATGTGTGTGAGTGTGCGTTCGTGCGTGCGTGTAGAAGAAAAAAGGATTTACAGTTTAGCTCAACTTTGTCAGATTGTTAAAGGTGTAGCATGTTGCTATTGCACTTCTGGATCAAAACACATGCGTATGTTGTCAGATTGACCACCTCGACAGAAGTATTGAGCAGCTAAAGGCTATTTTAAGGCTAATTTAAATTGTGGTCTAAATGAAGGCGATGGAAGGAATATTTTACGGAATATTTTTATATTAAAAGGGGTTTTTGTCCTAACCAATACCTGGAATTTATATTTTAAAAAGGGCTTCTATTTTTTGCATTTTGCAGCTGAACAACAGAAAACTTGATAAGATGATCAACTGAGGTACACCTCATGTGCTTTATTCAGCATTAAATGGTAATAATGGGAGTTTGAAGGCCGCTTTACATTACATTTACTGCCATACTACTGAAAGCAGCAGCAGATAGTTAACTCAGATCTTGAAAGTAAAATAAAACAGTTGAAATAGAAGTTCAGAACCGTGAAATAATGTAAACCAACACATATCAGTGATTCAGCATCTACATTTAATAATGTTAAAAAGGTTTAATATGTATTAATTCAATTATAAACCTTACCATTTCTTTGAAATGGAGTAAGTGCACTATTCTTTGCTTCTGAATGGTTGTATTGTCATGTTTCGTCTGGTGCAAAGAGCCACATTGCTTATAACTGCAAATCTAGTCACATAGTAGCCGCATTTCCACTTTCGGGCCAGTACAAGCCAGGGCTTTTATCGGGCCGGGCCAATCGCCCGGGAGGTTGAGCAGTGAGGCCGAAATCAAGTCGCGTTTCCACTGAAGGGCTAGTAACTCGCAACCTTGCCCCCAGAACGTCCCCCGAATCAAACGTCACACAACCCGCCCACTTCAGCGGGAATAAGGCAGATAAAGCACACTATTACATCATCACGAAACAATTCAAATAAAGACAACCGAAACAAACAAATGACCCGTTACTGTACAGCATTACATTATATGTCTATACGCACAGGCCTGTGTGTTCTCATTCATCATATTCATTTACTCACCGATCGACTGTTGGCATCGAAATCGAGTGGTCTCGCCACTAACTGAGGGACCCAGCGCAGTGAGCGCACCATCCATAATATAAAACCACTGAAATTCTCTGTTAATAAAGACAGAAAAATGAAAAGAAAAAAGAAAATGTATTTTATAACATTCTCGTTTAGATAGACGCCGTCAAACAGTCAGCCCAAATGCTCCGGAGAGAACAAAAACATAAATTTTCCCTATAGGCTATTTGACACTTAGCGATTCCCCTTTATTTAAGGATATTTAAGGAAAGTGTTAAGTATTACAGCACATAAGAGCAAGAAATAAAATATAGAGTATGTTTCGTTGCGCTCAGCAGCTACCTACTAATAAAGCTCTTCATGTATTTAAGAAAAAAAAGCCTACAGAAAAAAGGGTAGCTTAGTTTCTGCTTTCACTCACCCAAAATGCTCTGTTTGCATGATTTGATTAATATCATCGTATCCAAATACTTAATAAATAATATTTCAAAATTTCTCCGGTGTTTATTGTTTTTAGAAAATATATTAAAAAAAAATTTTTTAGATAGGCCTTTGTAAAATGAAAGTTTAATACGGCTTAAAACGGTTTAATTTATGTATTGTATATACCTAAATTGGTTTAGCTTTTGTTAGTTTTATATTATTTTATTTTTTTTATGTGATTTTATTATATCAGATATTTGTAATTCTTTAAATAATTTTAATATAGCTTAGGCTATTTTATGAAGTTATGACACTATTGTTTTGAGCTTACAAACGTGGACAGGACATCTGTACAGTTTCATGTCTTTCTGTTGTGTTCATATTGTGTGTTATCTCCAAAATAAATAACAAAAAGAAAAAAGCCGCGCAGCATCAACAGAGCTGTGAAGGGAGGACACTTTTCCTCGGTCTCACACACACATACAAGCATCTAAACACGCACAAACTTACCTTTTAAACTTGACAAAAACTCTCGAAAACCTTTACTGTGTGCTGTGTCTTTAATTTGGTGTAAAGATTATTATGCGTTATTGAAACATCAAGCCCAAGGTATTCGGCGGGCCGAAAACAGCCGGCCGCTGGCCCCAAGAAAGCCCCGATTTGGCCCGATTAAGCCCCGGAAGTGACAGTGTAAACGCGACTGGCCTTGGCTCACCCTGGCTCGCTCACTTTAGGCGTGATAGTTGAAATGCGGCTACTGTGTTGTTAGGACACAGGGTTACAATGCAACATGCTCACCTATTGTTTGTGTTTCCAATATTTATGTCATTTGCTAATTAATAACCACCTCATGTTGAACTCTGAATCTGTGTCTCATTTCGGAGTCTGCTACTGTCCACTGGAGGTTGCATTTTGGTCATGGGCGCATGCTTTGAGAGCCTTTCTGAATGAAATATGTGGTTTTCAACCAAGGCAACCCGGGGTGCTGAAATACATTTGGCTAAACTGGCAAACCAAAGCAAAGACAGGGTACCAGCATGTAACTCACAGTTTCTAAGCAAAATATCTGACTTCAGCATTGTTTTTCAGATAAACCAAAATGTTCACTTAGACATTTCTTAAATTATGGTATTTTTATCCTTTAGAAGAGTCAAAAAATTACATGCAGCACTTTAAGGTGTTTGAATAAATCTGCCATGAAAACAGTCAATGGGTGTTGAAACAAGTTCATGATTAGCTGTAATAAGTAATGTGAAGTCTAAATGTCAATTTAGCTTTTATTTCAGTGCTGATTGTCAGTTTAGTGTAGCAGTTCATTTTAAACATTATCTTTATTATTAATTATTATTTATTATTATTAAGTATTATTCTAACTTTTAGAGTTTTCCGTATTTAGCATATATAAGCATATTAAATCTGGAAGTTACATTTTAATGAAAGTAATGTGAAAATGTGTTGTTGTTTTTTTTTTTGTCTGTTTTAAAGAGTAAGATGGTATACATTAGTAATATATTATTTTTAAAAGTAACTTTACTCAACACTGAAAAATTGTTGTGTGTGTGGTGTTGCTGTTTTTAAACAGGCATTTGATGGTGGATCCAAGCAGATGTTAAATGGTACAATAGTTCATGATATCTTTCAAAAAGCAGCCATGTCCTCAGATTTCTCCTCAGAGAAGATACAGACATTTGCCACGGAGGCCTTAAGAAGCCCCAACTACCTCGGACAAATGTAAGTACTCTCCTGTAACTGTCAACTCCACCTTTAGTGGCAAACTTGGGCTGCCATTTGTACTTGTTTGCCTTAAATTTTAGTAAAGCAGCTTTTGACCATCGTAATACTATATGTTATGATATTGCCTTGAAATGGATGTAAATGACACAACTGGCTATATATTGTGTTTTTTCATGTTTCATTAAATTAGGTACAGTCTAAAGCTGACTCAGGCTGACATGAGACAGGAAGTTGAAGAATATCTTCCCTCTATATCTGAATGGGCAAAACAATACCTCCACACTTCCCCACAGGCAGGACAAAAACAGCTGACTCTAAAACTGTGAGTGTATTATTTATATACTTCTTTTAACAAATGTTTATTGGATGTGTCATGCAGTCTGCTGTCAGCATTTTCTGGTTTCTTCAATGTAATATTATGGATGAAGTTAATGGTTTATGTGGTTCTTTGTTGTTAGCCCTAGTGATGGGGCTCTGAGCAAACAAGATGCTTCCAGTAGCGTGATGGTTACTGATTTTGTGGACATTGAGGAGAACATTTGGTGTCCACGTTTTGGTCTGAAGGGAAAGATTGATGTCACAGCTGGAGTTAAGATTCACCGGAGAGGCAGGAAGCCCATGGAAAGAATTGTGCCACTGGAGCTGAAAACTGGCAAAGAGTCTAACTCCATTGAGCATCGCAGTCAGGTACAAAAACACAATCACCTATGGAGAAAAAAAGAATTAAATTATATATATATATATCACTACTTGTTGCTTGATGCTTGACATATTGTTTGTATTTTAGGTTATTCTGTACACACTGATGAGCTCAGCTAGACGTTGTGATCCAGAGGCAGGTTTCCTTGTCTACTTGAAGACTGGCAGTCTACATCCTGTTGTGGGCAATCACATGGACAGGAGAGGTTAGATTTATATAGAGGTTTATACTTGTAAAGGACAGAAATGAAGATTCTGTTTACATTTATGCATTCTCATGTTGTTTTAAATACAAAAGACATTCTTCCACCTTTGAAACCTAAATTAAGATATCTAATCTATGGGAAGTCTTTCCTTACATTTAAAGACTATTGACCCAATACTCTCTGACACTTCAGAACATCAATCAAGAGGAAAAAAGGTGATTGCTTCATAAATTGAATCAAGGGATTTTATTTAGATATAAACATTTGTCAGCAAACAATGTTTGCAGCCTTCAGTTTTGTTCACATAAGCTCAAGCGTTCTTGCTTGGTGTATGAGAATAATGAGGTTCATTCATTCCTGTCAGTCCAACGCATTTGACCTTCAGCATGAACCTATGAGGTGTGTTCATATGTGAATAAAGGCCTGAATTATATCTGTTCATTAGGTCTTTGCATGTCTTCAGAAAACTTTGATTAAATATCTTGAATTTTTATAATGATCAAATGTTTTGCTTTCATTTGTGTTCTGAAGATGATCAGATTATGGGTTTGGAATAACATGAGACAAAGTAATTTTTTGTTGAACTAACCCTTCAGTATTTTCCTTATCATAGAGCTGATTAAAATAAGGAACTCATTGGCCCATCACATTGGCAACAACCTGATCAAGGTGGATGGGAAAAGTCAAATGGCCCAATTGCCTGCCATTGTATCTGACCAGCAAACTTGCAAATATTGTCCTCAGAAAAGGAACTGTGCAATTTACAACAGGTGCCATTTTCTACTCTTTGCATGTTCTCTTCACAATTGAAAAGTCAAACAGTTCTTTAATGTCATTGAGCTACTGCCAAAATCTATCATTTGTTTAGAGCTGTGGAGAGAGATCCTGTGGAGAAGTGCAGTGAAAATCCACAGGCCTTTGTGCAGTCAGAGAGTGAACACCTCAGTCAGGTGCACCTCCAGTACTTTAGCCACTGGCTGCTGCTCTGCTCACTGGAGGCTCTCACCATGGAGAAAAAAGGAGGTCGGCGTAATATCTGGCTTCAGACTGCTCAACAGAGGTGGGTGTTTTTACTTAATTAATTCTCAGAAAAAGGTACATTATTTAATCATTTACTCACTCTAATGTCATTCTAAGTCTACCTGAAAGCCTTTCTATTCACCTTTGAAGTGCAAAATAAAGATATTTATAGTTAAAGCTGAGGGATTTCTTTTTCTCCAGTATAATGTTCCTCCCACCAATGCTTTTGAGCAAAATGTCTGTTTAATTTAAAAAATACATTGTAAATGCAATCTATATAAACTGTGAAGGTTAAAGCAAGACACATTTTCTCACATGTAGACATTGATCAGTACACTTTCACAGAGCAGTCAAATCCTGAAAAGGGTTTAACTTGAATTAAATTGTTTATTCTATAATATTATCTCTTCCAAGATTTGGATCAAGCCATTCATAAAAACATTTTCATACATTTTAAGGTCCTAAAAAATAAATGGTTTTTGATAGAATTAATTGAATGTATTTGCTGTTAGTTGCATCCCTGTTCTTATGTTGTTTGGTTCTCAGGGAGAAAATTGGTGGCTGTGCGGGTAACATGCGGTTAGCTGGAGGCGTTAGCATTCTGTCTGATGGTGTTTACAAGCACAGCTTTGAGAGGAAGGAGGGCGAGCAGACTCTTACTGGCCTGATAGTGGGTGATAGGATTGTTGTCAGTGATCAGGACTCTGTGCTCATTGGCCTGTCCACCGGATACGTCACAGAAATTGCAGTTAACCGAGTTACTTGCTCGCTGGACAAGTAAGTATCTTCTTGTGATTTTTGTTCTTTTTTTGTTTTGTTATTAATTTACTAGAATCTATCAAGTATTCAAGTTAGGCTACAAAATACCTTTATTCTACATTCAAATTGTTGCAGAAACCTTTCCAAGTATTCCTCAAACACTGTTTTCCGACTGGACCAGGATGAAGGTGCAGGTGGTCTTAGCACTCATCTCGGAAACCTTTCTATGTTAATGGAAAACACTCCAACAAGGTCTGAACATCACCTTAGTTCTGTTTTCCATCTTTAAGTGTTTCACTGCTAATGTTTTTGATACCATTTCAAACTACATATGTTTATATTTATGCAGTGAAAGACTGAGAGAGTTGATTGTGGAATTCAGGCCTCCTCAGTTCATTGACAGCCTCAGCAGTGTTTTGCCACGAGATGCCAAGGACATTGTGGCCAACATTCTGAAAGGTGCATTCATACACTGCCTTCACCCGAGAATCTTATTACATTTAATAGCAATAAGCTGACTTTTTCTGCAGTGAGCTGCTTTAAAGCGTGCCCTTGATGTGCTAATTTGAATAATAGAGCTTCTCCACTCCTACTTAATGTGTTTTAATTAAATGCTGCCTCACAGGACTCAACAAACCCCAGAAACAAGCAATGAAAAAAGTGCTTCTGTCTAAAGATTACACGCTTATTGTGGGAATGCCGGGTACTGGGAAAACTACCACCATCTGTACACTGGTAAGCTTATCATGATTTGAAATTATTATGTTTAGTCACTAGCTGATGTATGCGACTTTTGGGTTTAATATTTGGTCTGTATGTTACACAAGACTTTTTATTCCACTTGAAGTCAGCCAAGGTTTTTTGCACTAAAAAGTCATTTTCTTTACATGACTTTTACTTCTAGAAATGACCACATTTCTAGAACTGCTCGATCGTGCAGATTCGCACTCTATAACATCAGAAAGATCCGACCCTTCTTATCTGAACATGCAGCTCAACTCCTTGTTCAAGCTTTTGTTCTTTCCAAACTGGATTACTGCAACTCTCTACTAGCTGGGCTTCCAGCTAACTCTATCAAGCCTCTTCAGCTGCTCCAGAACGCAGCAGCACGAGTGGTCTTCAATGAACCTAAACGAGCACATGTCACTCCGCTGCTCATCCATTTGCACTGGCTGCCAGTCGCTGCTCGCATCAAATTCAAAGCTCTGATGTTTGCCTACAAAGTGACTTCTGGCCTTGCTCCTTCTTATCTACTCTCACTTCTGCAGATCTATGTGCCCTCCAGAAACTTGCGTTCTGTGAATGAACGTTGCCTCGTGGTTCCATCCCAAAGAGGGAAGAAATCACTTTCGCGAACGCTCACGCTCAATCTGCCCAGTTGGTGGAATGAACTCCCTAACTGCATCAGAACAGCAGAGTCACTCGCTACTTTCAAGAAACGGCTAAAAACTCAACTATTTAGTCTCCACTTCACTTCCTAATCTGCAATTGCCTCTCTGGATATACCACTAACTGTACCCCAAAAAAAAAATTATAAAAAAATAAATAAAAAATACTAATACTACTAATACTTCCCTTCTTAGACTTTACAGACCTGAAACTTGCCTATAGCACTTATTCATTGTTGCTCTTAGTTGTGTAAATTGCTTCCTTGTCCTCATTTGTAAGTCGCTTTGGATAAAAGCGTCTGCTAAATGACTAAATGTAAATGTAAATGTTTTACTTCAAATGAATGTTAATGTGACCTTTATTTCGCACTTTCTCCTATCACAGGTGCGAATTCTCCATGCTTGTGGCTTCAGTGTTCTTCTGACTAGCTACACCCACTCTGCTGTGGACAACATCCTGCTGAAACTGAAGAGGTTTAAGATCGGCTTTCTGAGACTGGGTCGACCTCAAAAAGTCCATCATGAGATCCTGCCTTTCACAGAGGAGGCATGCCGTGCCAAAGGCATCCAAACTCTAGAGGAGCTGGAACAACTGTACAGCAGAGAGGTAAGGCACACAAGTGTAGTAAAAGAAACTACTAACTAAACACAACTAAAAACTGATTAAATAAGCTTTCCTTTGCAGTATGGCTTTTTAAGATATGACCATTTTTGGCAGAGGTGAGGTACACCTGTTACAGGGGGGTTCAAAAAAGATTTACATATGGTGAAATCACTTTTAAAATTGTCCAAATGAAGTCCTTAGCAATGCACGTTACTAATCAAATAAAAAAAAAAAAGTTTTGATAAATTTATGGTAGGATATTTTTACATAATATTGATTTTTTTTGTTAATAAATAAAAATAGATTAAAAAATAGATAATTATGGTATTGCTTAAATTTATCACTGCAACACAAGACTGGATTTGTACTTCTGATCTTGTAATGTGTTTTTGCTTTAATTTCCATTAAAAAAAATCTTTCTTGCCCTGAACATTTTGAACATATATCTATTAATAATATAATATGAAAATATTTTAATTACTCTATATTTTGCTATTTTTACATGATGAGAAAAAAAACACTTACTTAAGCCTCAATAAATGGTTATTTTTCAGCTGATTGTGGCCACGACTTGTATGGGTGTTAAACACCCAATTTTCAGCCGCAGGCGCTTTGACTTCTGCATCGTTGATGAGGCGTCTCAGATCAGTCAGCCTGTGTGTATAGGTCCACTGTTCTACGCCCAGCGCTTTGTCTTGGTGGGAGACCATCAACAGCTTCCTCCTATTGTGCAGAATGCTGAGGCCAGGTAATGTGCTTGTGTCCTCATTCAGGTGAACTTCTGAAAGATATTCACAATTTTACTTTGAATGCCATTTGTATCTTAGCTTTTTAGTTTTTGTGAATTATTATTATTATTATTATTATTTTTTTAAAGTCTTACTAATATCATTTATTAGCACAACTTATTGCTTTGTCCAAAGTCTTTGCACAGATTTTAAATGGTGTGTATGTATGTATATAATTTTTTTTTTAATTAGGTCCTTGGGCATGGATGAGAGTTTGTTCAAACGTCTGGAACACCACAGGGATGCTGTTGTTCAGCTGAATGTGCAGTACAGGATGAACAGGTGAGGAGTCTGACAATTCACTTATGAGGTTGTAAAATAGCATGAGTAAGGGATAATCTATGGCTGTGCATGAAAATAAATTCAATAATGCACAACATGGAGGCAAAGAAACACCTGACACACACAATTTAAATTACCTTTGCATTAAATAGTGTTAATCAGCATCTTCCAGATCAGTATCAAGTATTCATAAAGATAATGATGTAAAGAGACCATATGCAAGTTTAATTTTACAAACTAACCTTTTTAAATCTGAAATATCTGTAATAATTTTCACAACATCCATTTGTGACTGTACAGCTCCAACACTTGTTGTTTTGTGTCCTTCAGTGCGATCATGTCTCTCAGCAATGCTCTGATGTATGAGGGCCGGCTGGAGTGTGGCTCTGAGAAGACGGCAAACGCAGTGCTTCAGCTGCCCAGTAGAGCTCAGGCAGAGGAGGAGCTGGAGCTGTACGTGTGTCAGCCGCAGTACAGTGCTTGGGTCCAGGCCGCACTGGAGCCCAACAGTCCTGTCTGTTTCCTGGACACCTCTGAGGTCAGTCTGTCATCGTTTTGTTTTTTACCCAATTCATAACAAGAAACATAGTGACATGATCCCATTTGTTTTGAAAGAAAAAATGTCGATTTTGGTTGACCTGAGTAAAATGTTTAACTAATCATTGCAAGCAAGTTGAAAACCTTTAGCTAATCAAAAGCTTTCTGGGCAAACAAACCAATAAAATAAAAGAGCAGTTAAGTTCATTTTTGGTTATGACAGTTGATGTGTATGTAGCACATGGAAAGGAAAGTGAGGACTTTTATGTACTATAAAAAGGTCACCTCCAGGGTGATCGGGAGTAATTGTTTTGTTGTTGAACGGCCATAGTGGTCATGCAATAAAGGAGAGGAGTTTGAAACTGTGGTTCTCATTTAGTAACAGATTATGTCTGTGGTTCTTGCGTTCATGAAGTGATATTTAATCTGTTGAAACAGTTTTATCTCCAAAATACTAATGAACCTGATCTATTATTTGTAAATTCAAATCTTGTGTGAAAATTTGTGGAATGATAGCAGTGCTGTAGTTTATGTAGTAACACTATTCACCATTTCAGTTGTTAAGTTTGTTTTTGCCCAATTGTCATCTGTGATTTGCATTTTCTGATGTCATTTTCAGATTTGCAGTCTAGCCATAAAATTAAAGCCAAAGCAATAGGAGGGCATGTTTTTTGTTGACATGCCGCAATCTGAACCTTTATTGCCTCTCATGGAATCCCAGAAAAGTTCTTGCCTTATCATTATTATATGATGTAGTTTTTTATTTGCAGGTTGCAGCCCCTGAAACTGTGGAGAAAAGTGGGATCAGTAATCACACTGAAGCTGTTTTAGTACAAGGCCTTGTTACTCTGCTGCTTAAGGTATGAACATGTCATTTGTTGTATGCAATGTAAAGAAATCTTCTGATTTTTTTTTTTTTTCTCTAATGATTGAAAATAATGTGTTTGTAGGCTGGATGCAGAGCATGTGATATTGGGGTCATCGCTCCGTATCGACAACAGCTGAAAGTTATCTCCAGTCTGCTTCAGGGAGACGCCTTTAAAGCACTTGAAGTCAACACTGTGGACAAATACCAAGGACGTGACAAGAGCGTCATCATCGTGTCTTTTGTTAGAAGTAATGCTGAAGGCAACGTAAGTGGTCTCATTACTGAAAAACGAATATTTAAGGGGCCTGTTACTGTTGTTATTATCAGCAAAGTGTAGTATAATTGGAGTTATTCACTGCACAAACATTTGCATAATATCCATCCTCTATAGCAGGGGTCACCAAACTTGGTTTTGAAGGGCTGGTGTTCTGAGGAGTTTAGCTCTAGATTTCCTCTACACTCCTGCCTGGAAGTTTTAAGTATACCCAGTAGTGCAGTGGCCACACCAGAGTTTAAGCTTGCAAAATTTTGTTGTACAGCGCTGCTAAATGAGGTGGGATTCAACAAGATGATTAGACATTAAAAAAATCGAGCGATTGGTCCATATTTGAAATTTCTGTACAGAGAGGTCATGGTTTGATCTTTTATTTGTCTTACGCAGCCACATGATGCGATTTCGCATGTCAGAGTTCACCAAGCTTGAACTTTCCATTGCAGGCAACTGCGAAACTTGTCACACGAGCTTGCGTTTTCAGTGTGTCACATTCCTATGTGTATGAATGGAAGTCTATTGGGGAGAACAGTGTGACCGCAGCTTTAAACTTTGATTGGCATGTTCTGGTGTTTGATTAGGGTTGGAGCTAGAATCAGCAGGACACCAGCCCACCAGGACGAGTCTGGTGAGCCCTGCTATATAGTATTAGACAATAAAATTCCCAAATTATATTGTGTTTAATCGAGTATTGTAGTTACTCAGATGATCTACACATTCAGGTAGAAATTCAAAGTACAGATCTGTGCTCACTGTGCTCTAATGGCACATATTGCTTACAAAACACTGCACATTGAAGGTTCAAATAAAACTACAAACATGTTAAATTCTTTAAAAACTACAAACATGGCCGATGTGGCAAACTGATGATTACGAATAGAGATTTAAAAGGGTTTAAACTATCTACCCTGACGTTATCCATGTTATATTTAATCTATTACAACATTGTGAACTTTTATAAAGATTGATGCATCATTAAAGCAGCAAAAGCATTCAGCAGATTTTTTTGCATGAAACTCCTCTGAAAGTTTAATGTGCCACTTCATCAACAGCACAGTAGGAAATTAAATATAAAAGAAATGTGGAGGATGTAAACAAGTGCTGATTGACAGGGCCATTTGAATTGTGACTAAATGAATGTAACTAAGCAACAGAACAAACTGTGATTGAAGCAATTGTAAAATTGTGTGTCCCAAAGCTCTTGGGCTCAAATCTCCTTCTTTTCACAAAGGCACCTTCTGTATACTTAGTTTACCACCTCAGATTGTGGAAAAGCTGTGTTTGGTAAGCTTTGATTTATCATGTGACTTTCTCATCAGAATCTGCCTATGATAGCTGTAGACAAATTATCAAATTATCAAATGTATTAAATTGTTAAAACCTGTATTACAACGATATCGTATTTTGGGACTAGATAATACTCTAAAAAGTATACTGCTAATACTCTATTGTTACTGTAAATATATTAACTCTGTAAAACCTAAAAATTTTTCTGCCAGATATAGGATGTAACGATTTACCGTGAGCTGGCTGAAAATCGAATCCCAGCACAGTCACCGTTTTAGTTTGATATATTAAGTCTTCTTCAGTTTTTTTTTTTTTTTTTAATAGTAATTGAATTATGGCAGAAAAGTTTAGCAAAAAAGTGCAGCATTTAAGAAAAAAAAAGAGCTCTTCACCTTAAATTTGTTTCAAATTATATAAAAAATTGTGACTAAATCGTATCAAATCGTGAGTCAGGTGAATTTTTACATCCCAAATAGATATACATGACATTGATAAGTTCTGCTAATGCCTGTAAATTTAATTCATTTCATTTTCTTCTCCCTATTAATGAACCATTTACCATGACTTTTTAATACGTAAACTTCTGATTTTCTCCAATTAATAGTTATTAGCAGGGCCAGACGGAATCTGCGGACGTTTTTTGCTATTTCTGCTGAGAATTTTGGTAAAAATCTGTGGTTTTCTGCGGAATTATTTTAGGAGTATTCAGCGGAGTATCATAACTAAAACCTTAATATATTAAATAAAAAGTAATAAATTACTGAATAAAAACTGAATAAATTCATATTTACACATTTACTAAAGTAAATAAACAGAATTAATAATGGGCTAAAAATCTCCAGAAATCTGCGGAATACTGCGCGCGCAGATTCCATGTGGGCCTAGTTATTAGGCAGTTATCAATAATTATGGATGTAGAATAAGATAATACATAATTTGTACTCTATGAGTAATAATATACAGCCAATGCTTTTATAATATGCATGTAATATTTGTTCCTAAACTAAAGTGTTGCCATTTTTCAAAGCAGTGTACACTAAAAAATCCTGGGTTCCACACAATGCATTTGTGTTAGGATAACATGAAGGAATTAAGTTAACTTATTAGATTTTACTCATTTAGGCTGAATGAACATAAAACAATTAAGTTTTCCCAAAATATAGTGGGGAATTGTGTTCTTCAGCCTATTTTAAATAAGTCATTTGAAGAAACTATTTTTTTGAGTGTAGGTTTGTAACAAATTTGCATAACTTTTCAGCTGGGAGAGTTGCTCCAGGACTGGCGTAGGCTGAATGTGGCCATCACTAGAGCCAAACACAAGCTCCTCATGCTGGGCTCTGCCCCCACTCTTCGCCGGTACGCACCGCTGGAGAAACTTCTCTGCCACCTTCAGCAGGAAGATATGATATCCTTCACAACCGCAATAAAATGGCAGAATCTCATCACAGGTTTATCCAGGCTTTTTAAATGACCTAGCTTAACTTTTTTTTTTACCATATTTTTAATTTCTCCTTAACTGAAGTCACATCTTCCAGCTACCTCCTGCTGCACACGAGGGACTACCTGGAGTCATCTTCTGATAAAAATAAAAACCTCTTGTAAACTGTGTGCTACATCACAAAGATAATGCTGTGAACAGTTACTTGAAAAAAACACTTAAGTAAAATAATACATACGATTCAGATAACTGTACTGTACTGTTAATATAGTTGCCTTCATGACTGAATAGCGAAATTAATTTCTACCTCATGTCACATTTTTAAAGTCATTATAGTTTTATCCATGTAGTGTCTAGACCGTTTTGAACATGTGCATTTTATATATACAGAAATATATAAATGTAAGTATTTATATTTGTTTTTCTTACATTTTTCAGAATTTTAAGGTTTTGTTTAATAAAATATTTCACCAATTATTACATTTGGCATTACTTTTTCTCTAAAATGGTTTTGAATTAACACAAGATAAACAAAAAATATTTTATAAATTTAGATTTTATTAAATGTCACATAACCTAGAGTGTGTTAATGTAGAGTGAAGATTAAATGCAGCAGATTTCACTGAAAGCGTCTCCTCAAATTTAATCAATCAGTCGTTTAGGATTTGTCTAGATTTTAAGAGTTCCCTGAAGAATGATCTGCGCTTCACCAGTGATGTCTAGTCGGCCGTCATCTCTTATCTCCAGCTTCAGTTCACCTCCTCGACTGGAGCACTGGTAAGCTGGAAAAACAAATACATCCGTTTTAAAGGGCTTATTCTTAGCAACTTGTTTTATTCATTATGAGAACTCAAAGGATTAGTTCACTCTAAAACAAAAAGTCTGTGATCATTTACTCACATATTTACATTTATCTACAGTGTGTATTCATCCCCATTTTACTCAGGTTAACTTTATCCCAGTGTTTATAGCAGTGAATGATTATTTCGGTATTATTTACCCAACATTTTCTTTTTCTTCAGCTTCTCGGACCAGTAGCCAGCAAGAACTGTATGTGCAGACCCTTTTGAAAATCAAGTTATTTTACATGTTTTGTGATGTAATGTACACATTTTTCCACCCAAACACTTATTTTTAAAATGTTTTCCTCACCAGTGACTGGATCTTCAGGGATTCCAACCCAGGGCGCAAAGTTGCGGGAGTAGAAGTCATATCCAGGCTGAGCTTTCTGAGCCCCTTTCAGTGTTACAACAACACTTTTTATCTTGCCAGTGGTCTCTGATCTCAGAAGAGAATCTGCCTCTGGCCTCAGAGACACAAGATCAGATCTGCCAACAATCAACAACACATCAGAACATTTTGCATTTATGGTAAATTGTAAATTTCTCTGATTGCATGTTAAACATTTTTAACCCTCTGTCTTAATTTTTTAATCTGCATTTTCTGTCATTTAAACCTTTGCCTATAACTGAAAAGCCATAGTCAGATACACATGACCTACTATCATTAGATCATGTTGCAACTCTCTATTAGTATTACTGGCTGCTTTTGATGCTGTTGACCACAATGTTTCATAAAATAGTTTTGCTAATCTAGTTGGCAATAGTGGAATCTAATTTGCATATTTCAAATGATAACTTTGACAATTATAAACAGTTTATAGAAGTAAATAAAGAGATCTGTATATTTTTACACAAGGCTTAGTTTTGGGATTGTTTCTTTTCACATTGTTTATACTACCCCTAGTAGATATCATTAAAAAAAAAAAAAGTTTTTTTTTTTTTTTTTTTTTTTTTTTTACACACACAGAAAACAATACTGCCTAAATTTGGATGGATCTTCTGTTAAATCTTAAATTTTAGTGAGCAACAGCTTGGGTATATTGTTTGATAGTGATCTGTCATGTTAAGTCCACATCTCAAACTTTTGTGAAATTGCAAACCTAATAAACAAAATTCAACTAGTGCATACTAGCAAAACAATATGACCATTATCACCAACATTTACAAATTGTTCAATGTTTAATAGGAAGCCAGTACAAATACCTACTAAACAGTTTGGCTCCTCTGTATCTGAGTGGGCTCCGTCACACCCATTCGCGAAAGTCTGAATATTAAATACGTCAAATTGGCTGTAGACACTTCCCAAATCAACATTGTAAGGATAATGACATCTTTCTGTTGCTAGGCTGTGTGTCTATCCCTTATTATCCAGAGGTTAACATTGAATCCAGCCCAAATGATCAATCTGTACTAGAGATAAGCACAACACTGCTCTCCCTGGTCAGAGAGGACATACAGTATATGTGTAGAACTCACAGCACTTAATCTCAGCAGACACCTTGTTGACAGGACAAGTCCTCAACTCCAATCCTTATGGCCAGCTTAAACATATCCTGTGTCCAGGATATCAGGAACCTGCACCTCTTACAAGGCCACTGATAAAACTTGTCCACTTTTGACTGGACTGACGCTTTGTCTTTTCATTGTTTTGTTCGGCAGAGCAAGACTAGCCGCCAAACTCGGTTCTCTCAAGTTATTTGATCTATTTCTCAAATTGGTGCCAGTTTTGGTTCCTTGAGACTGTTTCTTCAGTGGATCACATCTTTCAACAATGAAATTCCAGAGCTGTATTTCTGATGAACTAACTAAGGCATTCTGTCTAACGTAATGTGTATAATGTACTGTACATTTTTGAAACTTCACAACTTGACCTGTTTTGACCTAATGTCTAGCATTACCTGTCACATGTGTCTGCCAGACGAATCATTAGTTTCTTTGTGCTTGGACTGTAGCAAACATCCTCAGTGGGTAAATCTCCTACAACAGCCTGAGAAAGTAATAAAAATCATTACAAAAATGTAGCTTCACATTAAATAAAACTATTAATAGACCGTGTTACCTTTAATAAATCCTTGAATTCACTATAGTCCTGTAAATTAAACGTACAATTAAAATTAAATTGAATAAATGTAAACCAAGAACCAATTCTTGATTAATTGTGAGATTTTCAATACTCAGAGGGGTCTTGTACCTGGGGCTGTGGTTTGTTTAAAGGGAAGTCCATTATTAATGAGTCTTCATCTTGACGCACATAAAGATCCCCACTCATAGTCTCAAACACCACAAAAGGGTTGATGTTTTCTGTGATTTATATTGAGAGTTTATAATGGTCACTGTCCGTTATCTCTGTTAAACGATTAACAAATCCAAGCGTTTCTTACTTTTAAGGTAAAAGAGCACTGCTGCAGAGGCCAGTGTTGCATGTCCACATAGTGCAATCTCACTTTTGGGGGTAAACCAGCGTAATCCAAACCTTGAACCTTTAAACAAAACACATTTAAACAATAACTAAATAGGCATTTAAATTGTTGTACATCTAAAAAAATGTTCTTAAGCAGACCATATTAATCAGACCTGTGGAAAAATCCATTGAATTGCCTTTTATGACGAAAGCAGTCTCTGATAAATTCATCTCAGCAGCAATGCTCTGATAAAGATCATCTTGCAGCTCCTGAATACATTACAGACAAGCATGTAATAGAATTTACACAAGCAGTGTTCCTAGCATTACACTTTAAGTTGACATTTTATTAAACTAATCTGATAACAGAAAACTTTCTTGTGGTGATACTTACATTTTCTATGAGACAAACTGCAGCAGGATTGCCTTTGAAAGGCACTTTAGTAAAGGCATCAACAGTAAAGATTGGAATCTCCATTTGTTACAGCTCTCCAGCTCTATTCTAGTATACCTTTTAGTTATGTTTTAGAGCCGTGTTTGAAATCAAGTTAGACTTTGACCTTAAAGATACGGGTCATGTTAAAGGTACAGACCTTACATTTTAAAATGTCTTACAACTATCCTTTTCACTGTCGTCTTGCTCTTAAAATAGAATGCTTGTTAAATTACAGTGTGTACTTTAACACTTTAAATAACATTTCCTAATTTAAATATGTAAAATATAGTTCCATCATCATTCAGCATAACAGATTTACTGTAAAAATGTAATAACTTACTTACTCAGACTTGTACTTTTTATAAATGTATGCAGGAAAACGGTAACCCTGGTCATTTTTATTCATATTTGACAATAAAATAACAGAAAACATTGATATCGGATTCTAAAATCAAATATTTTATTGCATTTCGGCATGCAAGTAATCAATAAATGAATGAAATATAAGTTTGCAGCTCATAATCAAAAAAGTATGAACAGATTCAATGATTTGCACGACTTGACTAGACTTTAAGAGTTCCCTGAAGAATGATTTGTGCCCGACCACTGATGTTTACTCGACCATCATCTCTCACTTCCAGCTCCAGTTCCCCTCCACGACTGGAGCACTGATAGGCTGGAAAACAGAAGAGATTATTTAAAATACTAAAAATATGCATTTGATTAATTATGTTTTTAAGACGAAACTTAAACTCGCATGAACTCATCATAGATTTGGATTCTGATAAAGATGGAAAAAAGTTTACCCAACATTTTCTTTTTATTCAGCTTTTCAGACCAGTATCCAGCAAGAATTGTGTGTGCAGACCCTTTTAGAAATAATTGTTAGTCTTTAAAAGCATAAATTACCTTCATTTGATATTGGAAAGAATATCTATCATTGTGCATTTCACTTATAATCTCATGGCATTATATTCACGAGGAAAAAATTTGCATTTTCCTTCCTCATGTTTTACAGGTTGATTAATTGATGAATCAGTTCAGCTCACCACACACTGGATCTTCAGCGACTCCATACCAAGGGGCAAAGAAACGAGAGTAGAAGTCATATCCAGGCTGTGCATTTGGAGCTCCTTTTATTGTGACAATGACAGATTTAATTTCTCCTGTAGTTTCACTTTTCAGTAGATCTTCAGCCACGGGACTCAAAGATGTGAATTTAGACCTGCCAACAACACAAGTCGACCGCCTTGCATAATTTTGAATAGATACAAAAGAAAAATCTCAGTCTTTTGGGTTACATATGGCCTGCTATAAATCCTTGTCTCTAAAATATATTTGAAATGGTACTATATGATTAGCAAAATGAGACCAGTCAACTCTGACTAGAAGGAAAACAACCCAATGGAGATGGAAAGTAGAATCTGCAAGCTCACTCCCCTGGACATAGAGGAGAGAGATTAGATTAGATTTCCCTGTGAGTGGAGACTTATTTAGCACCATTGCACATTACAAATAAATACTACAACCAATTATTAGACAACAAGCACCACATCCAAGTCAACACTCCAATTGCGCAAACAAATAATAAACAAGAAGAAAAAAGTTACGTCAATGTCAAAGATAAAACCTGTCAAAGGAGAGCAAATGTTTGCTTTCTCATTCCTAAGAAAGTTTCTTTACTATATTTTATGCAGGTGGCACAGTGGATAGCAAGAAGGTTGCTGGTTTGAGCCCTGGCTGAGTCAGTTGGCATTTCTGTGAAGTTTGCATGTTTTCTCTGTGTTTGCGTGGGTTTCCTCCGGGTGCTCCGGTTTACCCCACAGTCTAAAGACATGTGGTACAGGTGAATAGTAGGGTAAATTGTCCATAGAGTATGAGTGTGTATGGATGTTTCTCAGTGTTGGGTTGCAGCTGAAAGGGCAGTTGCTACGTAAAACATATGCTGAATAAGTTGGCAGTTCATTCCACTCTGGCGACCCCTAATTAATAAAGGGACTAAGCCGAAAAGAAAATGAATGAACATTTTATGCATGATTAACTCCCCTACAGAATCATCCCAATCAATCTAAAATGAATGAATTCTATTCGAGTACAGCTACTCAAGCCATGTGGTCAGTCATATTGCAATTTAGCACAGAAAAACTGAATATTGCAATGTCAGATATGTTTCTAATATTTTGCTGCACTGTTATACACCTACTGTATATGGATTCACATGTAGATTCCACTCACCAATTCCATTGGCTTGTTTTCTACAACTCAGAGGTTCTTCAAGACAGAATCACTAATACGTCATACCATTGTAATAGATGACTGAAAGGAAGCTAGGCTTTTTCCTGAGTTTCAGAAATTCTTCTGAATGTCCTGTCGTACCTGTCACATGAGTCAGCCAGACGAATCATCAGCCACCTCAGGGCTGGACTGTAGCACACATCCTCAATGGGTAAATCTCCTACAACAGCCTAAGAATGCAAATAACAAATCTCTTACGTCTAAAAAAAATCTAAAAAGGAAAAAAAAGTATAATAATGTTATAAAACAGTGCTACCTTCAGAAAACCCTTGATTTTACGCTGGTCCTGCAAGTAAAAAAAGCACAAAGCTCAGTGAATTCAGACCAAAACCAACATACTGTACAGTATTAGTTTTGTGTCTACAAGATGTGTTTTTGTTATACCTGCGGCTGTGGTGTGTTTAAAGGGAAGTCCATTATTATTGAGTCTTCATGCTGACGCACATAAAGCTCCCCACTCATAGTCTCAAACACCACAACAGGGTTGGCATTTTCTGTGATGATATAGTGAGTTTAATATGGTCACAGTCCAGTATCATTATTAAATCATTAATGCAAACACAAGCATTTCTTAGTGGTGTAATGGATCACAGTTGATCATTTAACCGCACAGCCTGATTTAGGAATCATGATTTGCAGATCAATCTGTGCAAGAAATTAAACATTATTTACAGTATTATGTTGTTATAGCATTACTTTTCTGTTATTGAACACTAGACTTACATAAGACACTTTTGATTTTATTTAGCATTTCTTATCCATTTGTTGTAGGCTACAGCAAAAACAATTAGATTTACCAAAACACTTCACACATACAGTAATATCTACTCCTTCATAATCCTCATATGACCATATTTGAAAATGTGGTAGTAAATATGATTACATGAACTATGACTATTGTGATTGGTTAGTGTTTCTTACTTTTAAGGTAAAAGAGCACTGCTGCAGAGGCCAGTGTTGCATGTCCACACAGTGCAATCTCAGTTTTTGGGGTAAACCAGCGTAATCCAAACCTTGAACCTTTAAAATACATCAAAACAAAAAAGCAGACACATGTTAAAGCGTTAAGATGTTCAGTGAGTATTTCAGTTAGCAACAACACAATACCTGAGGAAAAGTCTACAGAGTTGTTTTTTGTAATGAAAGCCGTGTCTGATAAATTCATCTCTGCAGCAATGCTCTGTTTAATATCATCCTGCAGCTCCTAAATGTAAAAAAATATTATAGGATATTCTAAGATACAGCTTAAAAATGTTGAGCAATGCAAAACCAGTCAACATAAAACTGTAGTACTTACATTCTCTAAAAGACAAATTGCAGCAGGATTACCTTTAAAAGGTAAACTAGTAAAAGCATCAACAGTAAAGATTGGAATCTCCATTGGTTACAGCTCTTCAGCTCTCTGTGCTTTTTTCTACTGCCTTTTAGTTCAGAGCAGTATTTAAAGTCAAGTTAGACTTTGACCCTAAATTATTACGGCTCATGTTAAAGCTGCAGACTCAAAAATTTTTTGCATAACTTTTAAATCGAAGGTTAAAAGTAAGGCTTTTTTAACACTTTAAAAAAATAATTATCTTATTTATTACAATTTATTTATATTTGTTTTCAGCTCTGAATTTAATCTGACTCCAATTTTCAGTGACATGAATCAATGAGAGTTTTGATTTTTATCTGATCCCACACTCTTCAATTATCCGTTCATTGGGGACCCAATGCCATATGGCTCTGGTTTGCGTGTTTCTTACAGACATGATCTTTATATTCTAAAGTTATTCAGAGGATGTACGGTTAACTAATACCCAAATAGTCCGGATGCCTCCTGCTCATTCGTGCCAAAAGTGTAGATCATTTCCTTACAACTTGATTAATCAGCAATAACCAGAAATCGAATAGCCTCCAAGCTGAAGAGCCGACTGCTCCGTACAGTCTCATGTGATTTGTTTGGATATGTATGCAGTATTAAGGTATCACCAACCTCCACATATTCTACTGGATGTAATGATTTCAGAAGAATCCAGAATTGATCAAAACTTAACGCTTTATTTTCAAAGTAAAAGTGTATCAAGCAGAAACAAACAATAAAAAGCAGATTCAGTAATCTACAACATCAATTACTCAAAAAAGATCAATCTAAGAGTTAGAGATGGCAACCTGACCATGCAGAAACATGCTGTAGCACATAAGTCTTGATGGAGAGCTTAGAGACTCACACATTAAAATAGGCTATCCTGCCTACAAGATCCCAAAAACACTTTTGCACCTTTCTTTTAAATACTCAGAACAAAAGATCAGAAATTCAAGACAATTAAACTTTGCAAAGACCCTTGTCTGGTCAATCTGGAATGGAGCATGTGGCAGAGATCTTATCAAGGCCAAAACTCAGATCAACAGAGACAAGTCACTATTGTGAAATTAAGACCACATTAACAAAATCACACTGAGATTTAAAATGATAGCAAACATGAAAGGGGAAAATGATAGATTCACAAGATACTGAAAACCTGGACATGATCTGCTCTGGTAGAGAAGGTGAAGAGGGGGAGATGATCATCATATAAAAGTGATCGTATCTTTCACTGAATTTTGAGTGTTTTACTCAACCTTGTTACATCTGTGGTGTTCCTGGTCAAAAATGACCACCATGGGAAATGTATAGGTATCCAGGCTATATTTATCCATCAGACAGAAAACATCACCATACACATCACCCCAACTCACTCACTTATTCACACATTTCAGACTGAACAATGTCTTTTGCAGGTACACATCTCTTTTTTGCGCTTATGTGCCCATCCTCCAGCCTTATCTCACAAGGAAACTTAACTATTTTACGCTTTGTCAGTTTAATTGCTAATCTGTAGAAGTTTAGTCGTATGAAAAGGAGGCATGGCATCCAAATAAGCAAATCATACTAAATTGTGTGAATAAGATCGTGCAAATTCATACGGATTAGTCACAAAATCAATAAGCTATGAATTGCCATTAGATAGCATTTGATCCTCCAACGTTAATCAACTTCCTGATAAAACAATGTATCATATTTTCACACAGTGTCTGTTACGTGAACCTTTCTGTGTGAATGTTGCTTTTTTCTTTCTTTCTGCCAATCTTCGTTCAGCTTGCCTCTGGTCCTAGGTGGAGCAATTTTAGCTTAGCTTAGCATCGATTATTTTATTAGACCATTAGCCTCCCGCTCAAAAATGACCAAAGTATAACTAGTGCTAGTTCTGTGTCCATGCTCACCGTCTATACCCTCAGTCACTATTCCCTATATGAGTATACTAAAATACTCCAACTGAAGAACTGCATGAAAATTTGAGCACTCAGTACACAAGAAAGGATGCCATTTTGTTTGTGCTTTAATGGTTGATAAATCATTCAGATGAATAAAAATTTCAATTTCTTTGGTCAGACCCTGTGAAAGCTATTTTAGCAAGCTGTCTATTATAACGAAACAAAGTATTTTAATTTCTGTCATCTATGGTTAATTTTTTCTAAATGTGTTCAGTGCCTATTTTTATTTTCACTGCAGTTATTTTATGTCTAATTCTGTAAATTCATGTTAAACACTACTTTAAGACATTGTTCACAGCTAAAGAATATTGAATACAAATTTGGTGGTGAAAAATGTTTATTTTTAATTTTTTGAGCTAATATAAGAGGTTACAACAGGCCGGTCAATTTTGACCGGGAACACTAAAGTAAGGGTAAGGATGTGAAATGTGAACACAACAGGAGGGTTAAAATGTTTTTTTTTTTTTTTTGTATTACAATATTTGTGGTCTTACTGTATGGAATTACATAACAGCACTGATATTATGAAGAGATTTAGCCATCCTTACAACAATAAACAGATTCAATGAGTAGATTTGCATGACTTGACTAGACTTTAAGAGTTCCCTGAAGAATGATTTGTGCCCGACCACTGATGTTTACTCGACCATCATCTCTCACTTCCAGCTCCAGTTCCCCTCCACGACTGGAGCACTGGTAGGCTAAAAAACAGAAGAGATTAATAGTCGTAGCTTAGTGTTAAGATAAAAAATAAAATATATATATATATTTCTTATAAAGAAGACAAACATTCTTTACCCAACATTTTCTTTTTATTCAGCTTTTCAGACCAGTATCCAGCAAGAATTGTGTGTGCTGATCCTTTAAGAAATAATTGTTAGTCTTTTAAAGCATTAATTATGGTGGCTTGAAAAGCCAACATACTGTTATCTCACTTAAACTTATTAATGGGGTTTGCCATAGGCAAAGTCCATTCTTACAATTGTGCTGGCTTATTATTCTTCTTCTTCCTTCTTCCGTACCATTTTTCGGCGCGTAACTTGTCCCGCAGCTTTCGTCCCAGACCCTTGAAAGTGGGCTCAAATCGTCCGGTCTTATCGGGAATGGTGTGCTATGACTTTTATAAGGGGTGGGGGGTTTTTTGGCCCCGCAGGGGCCAAAAAACCCCCCCAAAAATCCCATAGACTTAACATTGAGCCGAACTTTGACGACTCACAGCGCCGCGTGTGAATTTCATAGAAATATGGGATTCACAGCATCTGTAGGGGGTTTCAGCCTAAGTGAGAACATACCTTGCAAGGGGGTAAAAGTTGCACCCCTGGGGCTCTAGGACGTCCCAAAGTGCTCCCATTGACTTACATTGGCCCCATTGACTCCCATTCATTTTTCTAGGAGAGCACTAAACGCGCCGCGAAATGGGACGACCTTTTAGGCGTTATAGCGCCAAGTGTGAAATTCGTAGAAATATGGGATTCGCAACATCTGTAGGGGGTTGCAGCCTGTATGAGAACATACCCCAAAAAGGGGTATAAGTTGTACCCCTGGGGTGCTAGGACGTCCCAAAGGGGTCCCCATTGACTTTACATGGCCCATTGACTCCCATTCATTTCTTGACTCACATGTCAATCACATTACATAGCAGTGTCATACAGACTTGGGGGTTGCCTTACTTGACTGAGGCAACCAATCAGCATCTCAATATGATTTTGAAGCTCACAAGCCACGCCCCCCCAAACCATTTAAAGACCCTTAATAACTGCCCCATTGACTTAACATGGGGTGGGATGTCCCATTGCACATCCCATTGACTTCCATTATAAAGGTCACACATCTATAACATTACATAGGAGTGTCATAGAGACATGGGGGTGGGCTCATTTGACTCAGGCAACCAATCAGCATCACTATATGATAATGAAGCTCACAAGCCACGCCCCCAAATTGATCCCATAGACTTCTATTATAATTGGGCTAGATGCATATCTTTGCATTGCAGTGTCATATAGGCTTAGGGGTTGGCCCATTGGACCCAGACAACCAATGAGCATCTCAATATGGTAATGAAGCTCACAAGCCACGCCCCCAAACTGGTCCCATAGACTGCCATTATAACTGGCCTACATGTATATCTTTGCTTAGCAGTGTCCTATTGACTTGGGGGTTGGCTCATTTGACTTGGACAGCCAACCACATTCAAGTTCACTCTGTAACCTCGCCCATAGCAACAAAACAGAGTACCCTAGCAACCATTCATCAACAGCTATATCTCAGCATCGGAACATCGTAGAGACTTGGGGATTGGCTCGTTTGACTCATGCTAGCAAACGGAACTTCCTGTATGCTACACATGCTAGCAGTGACTAGCTACATGCTAATATTGACTAGCCAAGTACTGTAACTTGCTAGAAATGCTTACTAAGTATAATTATTTCATCAGGCAAGTATATGAGGCTTGCCTAGTAACCACCCCGGGTACCCTAGCAACTGCCTAGCAACCACTCAAATTACCCTAGCAACCACCTAGCAACCACCTAGCAACCGCCTAGTAGCGCCTTAGTAAGGGCCTAGCGACCAATCAGGACACCCTAGCAACCGCCTAGCAACGCCTTAGCAACCACTTAGAATACCCTAGCAACCACCTAGCAACACCTTAGCAACCACATAGCAACCACTCAGGACACCCTAGCAACCGCCTAGCAACACCTTAGCAACCACCTAGCAACCACTCAGAACACCCTAGCAACCGCCTAGCAACCACTCAGGACACCTAGCAACCGCCTAGCAACGCCTTAGCAACCACTTAGAATACCCTAGCAACCACCTAGCAACACCTTAGCAACCACCTAGCAACCACTTAGGACACCTTAGCAACCACCTAGCAACACCTTAGCAACCACCTAGCAACCACTCAGAACACCCTAGCAACCGCCTAGCAACCACTCAGGACACCCTAGCAACCGCCTAGCAACGCCTTAGCAACCACTTAGAATACCCTAGCAACCACCTAGCAACACCTTAGCAACCACCTAGCAACCACTTAGGACACCTTAGCAACCGCCTAGCAACCACCTAGCAACCACTCAGGACACCCTAGCAACTGCCTAGCAACACCTTAGCAACCACCTAGCAACCACTCAGGACACCCTAGCAACCGCCTAGCAACACCTTAGCAACCACCTAGCAACCACTCAGAACACCCTAGCAACCATTCAGAACACCCTAGCTACCAAAACAAATACATTTCACCGCATTTCTGCATTTCTTGCTATTTTGCCCAGTTTAGTACCATTTTGTACCCCATCGATTTGCCACGCAAACCCCATTCACATTTCCTTTAGGAAATGTACAATTCTAGTTATTATTCTTCTTCTTCTTTCTTCTGAGACTAATTTTAAAGTCTATCTCCTCCTAACCCTTTCAAGCTTCATACCTCAAACTTTCGTCAAACCTTCAAACTGGTCTGACTCGGGTTGCTATATCTTTTCCGACTGATCCGACTTTCGGTTTTCCGAAAAACGACCCGGAAAATTCCCAAAATTCCCATTGACTTAACATTGGGTCAAACTTTGTGACCTCATAACTCTGCATCAGACGTTCCTACAGACTTCTAACTGGGCTCATTTAACTCAGTCTAGCCAGCAGCCAATAACTGATGACCTTTAAACTTACTAGCCACTCCCTAGCAACCACTTTTGGCACCCTAGCAACTGTCCCATAGACTTCCATTGTAAAAGACTGCCATTGACTTAACATTGAGTCAACCTTTGTGAGCTCATAACTCTGCATCAGACTGTCCTACAGACTAGAGTCAGGCCTCATTCAACTCAGTCTAGTCAGCAGCCAATCACTGATGACCTTTAGACTTACTAGCCACTCCCTAGCAACCACTTATGGCACCCTAGCAACTGTCCCGTAGACTTCCATTCAAAAGACTCTCATTGACTTAACATGGGATCAAACTTTGTGAGCTCATAACTCTGCATCAGACTGTCATAGAGACTAATGGCTGAGCTCAATTAACTCAGTCTAGCCAGCAGCCAATCACTGATGGCCTTTTAACTTTCTAGCCACACCCCTAACTACCACATACTGCACCCTAGCAACTGTCCCGTAGACTTCCATTACAAAAGACTCTCATTGACTTAACATGGGATCAAACTTTGTGACCTCATAACTCTGCATCAGACTGTCATAGAGACTAATGGCTGAGCTCATTTAACTCAGTCTAGCCAGCAGCCAATCACTGATGGCCTTTTAACTTTCTAGCCACACCCCTAACTACCACATACTGCACCCTAGCAACTGTCCTATAGAATGTAATTAGCTGTGCTATCAAATGCTTACATGCATATCTTTGCATAGCAGTGTCCTATTGACTTGGGGGATGGCTCATCTGACTCAGACAACCAATGAGCATCTCAATATGATAATAAAGCTCACAAGCCACGCCCCCAAATTGATTCCATAGACTTCCATTAAAATAGGCCAAGATGCATATCTTTGCATAGCAGTGTCATAGAGACACGGGGGTTGGTTCATTAGACTAAGACAACCAACCACATTCAAGTTAACTCTGTAACCTCGCCCATAGCAACAAAACAGAGTACCCTAGCAACCATTCATCAACAGCTATATCTCAGCATCAGAACATCGTAGAGACTTGGAGATTGGCTCGTTTGACTCATGCTAGCAAACGAAACTTCCTATATGCTACACATGCTAGCAGTGACTAGCTACATGCTAATATTGACTAGCCAAGTACTGTAACTTGCTAGAAATGCTTACTAAGTATAAATGTTTTATCAAGCATGTATGTGAGGCTTGCCTAGTAACCAACCAGGGTACCCTAGCAACTGCCTAGCAACCACCCAAATTACCCTAGCAACCGCCTAGCAACCACCTAGCAACGGCCTAGTAATGCCTTAGTAAGGGCCTAGCGACCACTCAGGACACCCTAGCAACCGCTTAGCAACCACTCAGAATACCTTAGCAACCACCTAGCAACACCTTAGCAACCACCTAGCAACCACTTGGGACACCTTAGCAACCACCTAGCAACACCTTAGCAACCACCTAGCAACCACTCAGAACACCCTAGCAACTGCCTAGCAACGCCTTAGCAACCACCTAGCAACCACTCAGGACACCCTAGCAACCACCTAGCAACACCTTACCAACCACCTAGCAACCACTCAGGACACCCTAGCAACCGCCTAGCAACGCCTTAGCAACCACTCAGAACACCCTAGCAACCGCCTAGCAACACCTTAGCAACCACCTAGCAACCACTTAGGACACCCTAGCAACCGCCTAGCAACACCTTAGCAACCACCTAGCAACACCTTAGCAACCACCTAGCAACCACTCAGGACACCTTAGCAACCACCTAGCAACACCTTAGCAACCACCTAGCAACCACTCAGAACACCCTAGCAACCGCCTAGCAACACCTTAGCAACCACCTAGCAACCACTCAGGACACCTTAGCAACCACCTAGCAACACCTTAGCAACCACCTAGCAACCACTCAGAACACCCTAGCAACCGCCTAGCAACACCCTAGCAACCACCTAGCAACGCCTTAGCAACCACTCAGAATACCCTAGCAACCACCT